GAACCTCAAGCCCTCGAACTGCCACTCAACTTCGGTGGTAGACAGATTCACGGAAAACAACACACAACACCTATCCTTTGTTCGCGGCACTAATTTGCAACTCTAGATTACCGGATTGTATAGATAGGTTAAACCTGACTACAGGTGTTGAATAAATTGTGCCTGATCCGTTGCCCTAGGATTTATTTCTGTGGGAATATCTAAAGCGAACCGTTTATTCCCGAAACCGGAAAACGATCGGAGAGCTTAAACAGAGTATCGTCGTGCACTGCAAAATCAGTCCGACATTCTGAAGGTGGAAGAAAACTACCTTCGCTGGATTTTGGTATGCAAGCAGCAGAATGGGAAATATATTGAATAACTTCTATAAAAACATGCATTTTCTCCTCCGGAATTCTATCTCGGAAGTAGTTGGCAAGAGCGTCCAACGCGAAAACAGTCAGTTGAAAAAAAACCAAGAAGAATTTTGCGTGGGTCTATAATAGTGGATATTGTAGTCCGTACTAAGGAAAAGTTCAGAACTTTATTATGGTTATCCGCTTATCGAACCCGCTTAGAAAAATAGTGCGTGCATCCTAGACGAGTCAAGCGTTGACCCCATGTCAACATAGCTTGAACCTTTCCCACTCCGAGTTTCCCACACAGCATCGTCCCACAGATGAGTCTCCTGTGATGATTCTCTACCATCACTTAAGCAGCATCATATTCAGAAGTCATCCTCCCCTAGGCCCGCCCGAAAATCACACGACCGATCGGGTTCAGCCGCAACAAGGGACCTGGTGCTTGCCCAGCTAACTCGAACGAGAAACCACACCTTGTCTACGACCGCGAGTCTTTCGCAAGCCCAGTGAAATTAGACTGCACAGCAGGAGTGCCCTGACCACAATGATGGACTGTATGTGACAACAAGAGCATCACAAAAAGGTACAGGTCCGTAATCAGACAGTTTTGTGTCGAGTTGAGAGATTCCAAGTGCACCAATCGCGAAAAATTATCCAGGCAGATCGCATAGAGGGTCAGAGAGAATTTACTTGTTCAAGGTCACGCGTGGGAGGGACGAGACAATAGACCAATCGAACTGTACTCTGCCCGAGTATTTTGTCTTTATCCTCCCATTGATTCGGGCCTATGGCTGATCTCCACGCCAATAGCACATACGCACGCACCATTAGTAAGTTTGATTCACTGCACTGCCCTCTATGTTGGTCTCTCATCGATCCGTATCCATGATCCTGATCCTGACACCCGTGTAGGCCGTAATGGCTTACACTCATCCACTGTATTTCGATTGGTTCCCTCTAGGTGACAACCCGCTGTTGAATATCACAGATGTTTGACATAAATTTGTGTTGTATTCGTTCCATTGTCATCGCGCTGCACGGCCGCCTACTCGCATTTCCTGCTTGCCTAATTACTGGCTTCAAAGATGCCGGCGTTCATCTAGCCGGATAGTGCCACAGTTTGAGGTTTGTATATTTTACACTATTGAAATGCGTGTTTCAATACCGTTTTTCCAGGAGAAACCAACTGGTTGAAGTACACTGTCTTCCAAGTGTTTTACGCGTCACTCTGCGTGGATCGTTTTCGGCTGTGGAGATTTCGTCGTCGAGGAAATACTCCAGAACGCTTAGATGGTATTCAGTGAGCATCTGGAGAAAAGCTGTGAGTTGGAGTATGCTGATGATATCATGTCTGTTCGAATGCTTCGAGAACTCGCAAAGCACAATTGATAGATTATTAAGTGCTGTTGCCACATTCGGTATGTGCTTTGCACCTTCGAAGTGCAAAGTGATGCTGCAAGACTGGGTGTCGCCCACTCCCGCTTTGAAAGTAAACGGCCAGGAATTACTTATAGTGAATTGCTTATCCTACTTGGGCAATTGCGTGACCAAAGACGGAAGCGAAGTCAAGGAGACAAACAACCACATTTCCAAGGCTCGAGCAGCACATGCAGAACTGAAACACCTTTGGCGTAGACGCCACGTTTCACTGAAGTTGAAAAGTCGTGCCACCGTTCGTTCAGTTCTGCTTTATGGTTGTGAGACCTTGCATATGCAAGTGGAAAATATCTACAGACTAGAAGTGTTCGATTATCGGTGTTTATGTAGTTTAGCTCAAGTGGGATTAGGCGAACGAGTTAGTAATCTCGAGGTAATCTGTCGTCTTAGGTATAAACCTGCTAGCAGCCAGAATTCAGATTAGGCTAGGACACGCGTATGTCCAGTTACCGTCTACCACATCGCCCCTTATTCGCTGTAGCCGCTCTGGGACGGAGGAAATCACGTGGAGGTCAGCAGATGACGTGGAGACGAGGCATAAAGAAATGCACACAGCCATTAGGTAGAGTGTCTCGCGCCTTCCAGGTTGGGGTCCGAAAGACTCCAAAACCGGTTGGTTGGAGACATTGAAGAATATGGCAGCGAACCGACAGCAGTGGCGTTCTTGTTGTCGGTTCTTATCAGGCAAGAGTGCTTGAAATGATATGTATGCAGAGTTCGACTGTGCACTCTGTGTTGACCATAGAGGTCCACCTTCTTCCCCCTCTCAAAATAAGTGCAATCCCTGTCCACCTTCAATTTTACCACTAACCTTGTATGCATTGCGACTTTGGCAGCGATCAATGAAGCTAGCCTCACTGTATTTCGCTGTGCGATGATGAGGATGATTCAGAGACTGATCAAATTTATCTACACCAAGGATTGAATGGGTCACCCTAGATATAAACAAGGCAGCCCGACCGTGTATACCGTTCCAGTCGAGTTGACGGTACCACACGTTGTTTCTGCGCCCGCAATTGATTCATTCAATCACAAACTGGATGAAGCTTCAAAAAGTCTTAAATTTCAACATCCGTAGAAGCGCACGAAAAAAATGACAAATTGTGACATTCATCAACTTTGTGTGAACTGTGAACCGATTCATCTGTGCCAAATCCTATGGGACTAGAAAAGGAACCGCTTGTAAGTATTTCCCTCAATAAAACTTCAACGAAGCTGTGAAAACCATTGCCCAAATTGATTCACTGATCGTAAGATACGTCACCTATAATTGAGTAAACAGTAAAAATCCTTCTACTACAACTTGCAAATCCACAAACTGTCTCCGTATGGCGGAGATTCTCAAGTAGGTAAAGGTCATCGAAGGTTTGAACTGGCAAACTTATTTGCGTAGTGCAAATTCAATTTTGTGATAGATCATTGACCTCAGCACGCAGTTGGTGAATCGACCCGTGCATTTTGTCAATCTTCGCATTGTTTTTTTCACGTGTTTCACTGAAACAAAGGAAACTTTATACCTATGACAAGACATTCTCACCAAGCTCTGCAAGCAGGTTGGTCTTCATTGCTAGGAAAGGAGTTTTTGAGGATACGTTCATTGGACGACATCTAACACTAAAAATCAGCAATCTCAATGGTGGTTACCTTTGTGTTGAATTATGAACTATATCAGAATCTGTTTTTTGTTTTTGTCGAGGTCCAAATCACTTATCTCTAATCGTGAACTACAACAGTCACCCATTTAACTGTCGTGCCTTGACGAAGCATTCCACTTGCTAGGGCTTACTGTGCCACTGAAATAAGAATATATGCTACACATGGTTTACTGACGACCTCCCCCGAATCAGTTTACTTTGAAGCTTGTGCGGTTTGTTTAGCGAAGCCCCGTTCCCCATAACAAAAGATCTTCAAAAAGTGTACGGTGAAATCATAAAAAAGCCATTCATTCATTCGTTCTCCCTGTTCTCTGTATTTCCCACTTTCAGTTAATCTTTCTGTACCCCCTCACAAGTTCATTATCATTGTTTTACATTGGCGCCTTGCTTATTCTCAAGCCGGTGTCATATATATATATATTGCATAATACGTAGTATGTGAATGACTGGACAAAATTTCCCTGGAAGCTCACGGTCCAGGCGGTCCTTGCCGCTCGTCAGGCATGCGTATCCGGTAATCTTTTGTCAGTTCATTCATATACTTGTACCCAGGAAGTATATTTTCGACACAGTAACCTTGTTTGCATCACCGGGTGACGTTTGGATAGACAGCTCTTTCAGAGCTAGTCCATTGAAGGATCAATGCTATGATCCGATGTTTTTGTAGTTGGGTTGGATGCTGATTTGATATCAAATCACGTTTGTTACTGTTAGTAGCATCTAACCGACTTACAAAAACATTATATATATATATATATATATAAGCTTGTAGATGTAAATTGTTCAGGCTCCAAAGTACCTAGGGGTGAGCTATTTGGATTTGAAAATAATCTAAGTTTTATGAAGTGCCGGAAGCTTGTGCTTGGAATCATTAGTGGTTTAACGGGCTTGCATGTGACAAATCCTTTGAATACTGCTGCGTGGGTTTTTAGATAATAGTGCAGAAAACTCGAAATCAGATAAGGCAACATATACTCTGAAACATAATAGTTAACTGTAAATATTAGACCTACGTTTTGCGTTTGTGCACCGTACTCATTGGTGCCGTTGCATCGGATGATGGTATATCCAAATCATTCAAAATTATCTCTTTGTAACGAAGAGCTTGTTCAAAGCTGTCTGAGGTATGAACATACTTAATGAAGTTTTACGCGTACCTGTGGATCTGATCATTTGCACAGTATGAGTGTGCGGTGCTGACAAATTCCTTCCGGAATTCAACAGCTTCTACTGATCCAGAGTAGAAAGCGAGCACTATTTTGGCCTACACACATGGTTTTCCGACAAACAACAACTTCTCTGTGCCGTAGCTACAATATGGCCGCTGAATTCGACGATAAAATACATCTGAAAGATTCGGGAAAATGGTTGTTAATTAGGAATGTCACTTGGAATCTACAAGAACGCTTCTTTAACTATATCAAAACAAATCAAGAGAATGAGCAATTTTTATTAAAAAACAAACAATTGTGTACAGTATTTAATTTTCTTCATTCGACGGCATACCTAAGAATTGCATGAAGATTCATCCAGTTATAATGATTCTTACCTTTAGGAAATCAACGTATGCAACAGCGGGTAGAATACTGTGATGAGCTCGAATGATTGAGCGACGAACGAGAGAGGGAAAACGAAGAGCCAAAAGTAAGGCTTTAATCTTCGAACAATGTGGGTACATCGGCGACAATAGAAAGATAAAAAATCTACATTATCTGTAAACAATGATGCCATGGTATAAAGATCCAAAGTATAACAAAATCATAACAAATGCAAACCCCGATTTATTACGTATTCCAAAGCATTTACTCTGAACCTTGTCCCTCTCAATCCAAAGGATATCTTCCTTGGGTTGTTTGCACTTGAATATGTCCAAATCGGTGAATGGTATGCACATTGTGAAGAATGGTTCTATCAGGGCAAACCTTTTTAATACTGAAAACCTCAGACTTGGCATCTAGGACAAATCCAAGCTTCCCGTTGACTAGCAGAGAACCCATCCTGGTGGACGTGGGGTTGTGGAACTTGATGATGGTTCCTGGGAAGAGCCCACTAGGATTATCCCTTCCTCAATGATCGGTCATACATCCCCAACATCCAAACGGTTGGTGGCTGCCTCCCTTGCCCTTCACAGGAACACTCATCAACTTCCACAACCACCCCAGGTCTACCAAGCTGGCTTGTCAGTGAACACAATACTGAGGACGAAATGTCGCAGCAGTAGGTAAACCATTGTGTAGCACACTTCTTGTTTACGTTGGCCATAACGGCAGCTCCAGTTATAGGTTACGCCAAGTGGCGCTTTGAGTGTATAAAGTTCGTTCTGACGAGCATCAAACTATGTTCTGAGCACATGCTCAGCAGTTCATCCCCGATGTAACAGAACTTGCAAGTCTGTCGCAAGTGCCTTGTGCATTCATACACGCAGACGGTGTCATCAAAGCATTCTTAATCGCTCATCTTATCTCAAGTGGAGTAAAGCTTGATACACCCAATAGGATGAATTTTCAGCACTTTCGACAAGTTACAGTGAGGAAAACGTTAAGCATTGGAAAAAGTAGAAATATGCATTTACTAAATGTAAAACAAACGGACTAGATAAAATCCTAATGTGAAAAATCATTATTCAAGTTAGTAAAGATTTTTGCTCGGTTGACGAAGATACGAGCAAAATAAGGGTTCATGTTGTTTTTATCTGTGGTGGTGTGTGCACAAAGAATCCTGATCTCCAGCTGCTCATTCGAATCCAGCCTTTCCAATGTTACTTAGGACGTTGTGCAGTTTTGTCTCCAACAAAACATTGATAGGCATGACCAAAGTGATTAGATGACATGTGATTTGAAATTGTTAGCCTGTGGGTTACGACAAGGCGCGTAATGCCATTGCTGAATCATACCCGTAACACGGCCAGTGTAACAGAGAGAGAGAGAGACGAATTTACGCAATAACTGTAATGAATCAGAGAGGTATGAGGTACGGAATCAACATCTGTGTGTGTGTATGTATCAAATTTACTTTTTGTGAAGAGATAACCATTTTCATTGTAATCTGTGTTTTCCCGTAGTTATTTACAACTATTTCTTCTTTTAACTTTTTCCGATAACTCACTGGACGGTGTCGTAAAGATTGTCAATATGTGTCCGTTGGACGATGAATTGAAAGAGATTTTGGAGGCCGAATTTTCTGATCCAAAGCCAGATTAGTAAGCAATGTTTGCTCTGTCATATGATCTGTTCGAAGCGCTTGGATTTCGCAACTGTTGGAATCAATTGCGGCGACTTGGGTGCGAAGAACAGCGCGTGAAATGGCACGTGTGTTGACCAATTTTTGACCACAACTTTCCAGAATGTCAGGACACCGTTTACCAAAGACTATGTTCCCTGTCGAGTGCTCCTTTTCGGTTCCGTAGCACTGGGCTTAGGATCCCAGTCCTCAGATATGGATGCTGTTCTGCTGGTTCCACGATTTATGGATCGTGATGATTATTTTTCCTCATTCCTTGATCTGCTTCAGAATCACAAGAAAATAAGTGACATTTTGGCTATCACGGAAACCCTCGTTCCTCTAATTCGAATGCGCATTAACGGCATACAAGTAAGTTATGTTTTCATTTCCGTTTTGTGCTTCGCTCGTCATCATGCTCATCTGGTTTGTGAGACGAACGATTGGCGTTCCATTCAAAGTTCACCAGTCCTGTTTCTATGACTTCATTGTGCATTGCTTGACCGTGAACCGATTTAGTGGTTCACTTCCTCTGAATCTCACTCCACGGAATGAAGTACTGGTGGGAGACGGTAACGTTTTGCAGAGAAGCGTGGAATCTGTATTATCAGTTTCGATCGACAACATTATTATTCGTACAAAACACCGGATCATGTAAGCAGCGATTTTTAGCACTCATAGGGGCTGGGCGGGGGCTCAAACCTGGGGCCATAGGGTCCGTTGGACGCCGATAACAGCGACACCACTATTGCACAGCAGCGGTGCCTCCGACTATTTGCGTAACTCTTCGTTGTCTTCATTTAGCGCATCATCTAAAAAAACCGAATCTCAGGAGTCTCCAGGAGGAGGGTGAATCAACGCACTCACTATTAACCGCGTCCCGCTACCGGAAAACAATGGCATTATATAAAAAGTAATGAAGTTAAAGAATAATAATAATAGTGGTTGCAGCGTTTCAAAAACGATCGCAACGTTGGCCTTGGCGTAATGAGTTGGAACGCATCAGTTATGAATGAAGTAAATGCATCGGATCGGACTGGATCCACGAAGTAAACGCTCTGGATTATTGTGCTTTAATCCAAGGTAGCAAACAATTGTAATCCACTCAGTCTTTTCCCCAACTGCCATGATAAATAACGATGGCTGCACGCCGCCAATTTCTCTCGCTCATTCCACCGTAATTCTTTTCCATATTGACTTGAAAAAATGTGCACTCTGGTTGTTTCATCGATTATCTTCATTGTCTGTTATCGTTTATTCCATTATATGGTGTTTGTTGTTCTACACCGTCTTTGTTGTTGGTGTCTTATTATTATTCAGTCCGGATAGTGAGAACGCATTTCGTAATTTGGATTTACTCCTGGCAATCCGAGTTCCAATAGGCTCAATTCACGCGCGCATAACTTACACGGTATTTTCAACGCATCTAGACTTGTGACCAGTCTGTTTTGCTGTCACTCAGTCTATCTCGTTTATCCTTTGCACCCCCACCCCCACCCCTGCGCAATTTACCCATATTCTTTCAGGTGGATTTGTCCCTGAGTATTTTCGGTTCCCCAGGAATTCCACTTGCCTTGGATTTAGACATGCCCCCAAGTGATCTGTATTGTAACATGGATTCAACCTCAATACATAGCCTGTCGGGTGCTGTACTAGCGTACATCTTTCGACAATATCTAGATCAGGACCCCAATTATCATTGGTTACTGCGAGCCATTCGTAGATGGATTCGTGCCCGGAATATCAGCGGTTATATTTTCGGTTTCCCTCCAACCGTGTCATGGACGGTTTTGGTCATATATCTGTGCAAACAAATCACAAACAGTTCGGTGAGTCGTATATCATATTTTCTTTCCACACGCGAGAGTGACTAATTCCGCCTTATACGCCCCCAAATTGTGCTTTCCGACTAGATGTGATCGAGATTTTTGTATCACTGTGCTTGGCGACATGGGATCAGGCCACAGCGGAGTTGTTTTCTATCAAGCATACGGTATACATATATATATATTCACACACGTCTGAGTTCAAACTGTATGTCAAACAAATCATGGTACAATAATCTTTATGAAAAAGAAAAAAAGGTTCCATGAT